CCGGGGTTTTCCCTTCCCACCCCCCCTGCCCCCCTGACCTGTTCCCGGGGGTCCCCCCGGCCGTTGAACTCGGTGCCATGTGAGATGTCCCTGAGGGGGGCACCGCCTGCCAGGAGCCGGGGCTGGGGGACACGGGGGGGTCAGGAAGGGCCGCGCAGCCCCCCCCGACCTCATTAACCCCTCCCAGCCCGGCGGCACTCACCGGCAGGGAGCGGATCCGCCGGATCCCGCGGCTGCAGGAGCAGGGAGAGGAAAGGATGCAGCCGGAGAACGTCCCTGGATTAGGGGGGTCCCATCCCCTGGCACGGAACCCCCTCCTCCCCCGTCCCCACAGTGGGGTGAGACCCCCCCGGGGCTGTCCCAGCTCAGGAATTCCTCCAGGATTGGAGTGAACATTGATGGGATGATCCCGACCCCGGGAAGGGCACGGGGACAGTCGGGGGACGGGGACAGGGGACAGCCTGGGGACAGGGACAGTGACAACCTGGGGACAGGGACAGTGCGGCTCTGGGGTCTGGGGAGAGGGACAGGGACAGGTTGGGAACAGCAGTGGGGACAAACTGGGCATGGGGCAAGCGTGGGGCCAGAGTGGCTTTGGGGTTGGGGGCCAGGGCCAGCGTGGGGCCAGAGCCCCTCACTCACTCTCTGTGTCCCCTCCCAGGCTTCAGGATCGCCCCCTCGAAGCTGTGGGGACAAGGACAGTTGGGGTTGGGATAGGGGGGTGACACCCCCTGTCCCCCCTCAGCAGCCCAGAGGCCCTGGGAATGATCCCCTCCCCCCCAGGGAACCCCCATCCTGGGCCGGGGGGACCCCAATCCCACAGTGAGGAGCCCCAACCCTTGGCCAGGGGACCCAGGAGGAGGGAGGAACCCCAGTCCTGTGCTGGGGCACCCCAGTCTCAGGCCAAGGAACCCCAATCCCAGTTTGGAGACCCCAATCCCGGGTTAAGGGACCCCAGCCCTGGGCTGGTGGGGACCTCAATTCCGATCACAGGGACCCCAATCCCGGGTCAAGGGACCCCAATATCGGCCGGGGGGACCCCAGTCCTGACCACAGGCACCTCAGTCCTGGGCCAAGGAACCCCAGTCCCAGGCTGGGAGCGGGGGCAGCGCCGGGGTGGTCCCGGCGCCCCTCCCTCCGTGCCCAGACAAAGCCCCGCGGGCAGCTCCAGCTGTATGGAAATGCTGGATGGAAATGCTGGATGGAATTGCTGGATGGAAATGCTGTGGCCACCGGGAACTCCGGGAACGTTGGGGCCGCTGGCGGGGGGCCAGATGGGCCCCCCACGCCGAGCCCCCCGGCCATGCGTGGCGTCCCCATCTGTCCCCTTCTGCCACATCTGTCGGGAGCTGCTGAAGCCACCGGGGTCACAAACACCCCCCACCAGGGGCTTTGCGACCTCCCAGGAGGAGATTTGATTTGGGGGGGTCACGGCCCCCCAGCAAGGGCCGGGACAGGGCAGTGGGGACCTCCCGGGGGGGTCACACGGTGTGTGTGGGGGGACACTCACACATCGTCCAGCGCCGCGGGGTCCTGAGCGGGGGGCGAGTCCGGCCCCAAACCTGCGGGGACACGGGGCGGGGGGGACACCAGTCCAGCACTGGGACCGCCAGTTCGGGCCGGGCTGTCCCACTCAGGTCACCCCGACCCCGGGGGGGGGGGGGGAGGGGGGGCCCTGGGGGCTTCGCCCATGACACCTCCCCCCAGCGGGATGACTCCGGGGGGGGTCCCACCTCCCGTGGGCCTCTCAAAGGGCCCCCCTCCACCTCAATCCCCCCTCCCCACATGTAGGAACCTCCTGAACCCCCAAGTGCCAGGACTTGCCCAGCTCCTGGTGGGGGGAAGTTGGGGGGGGACAGCGCCCATCACTCACCCGCATCCGAGGACTCGGAGGAGACGGAATCCCGGGGAAGATCCCGGGGGAGTTCCCGGGGGGATTCCGAGGGCCCCGGCTGTGGGAGGGAAACGGGGGAGCGCAGCCCCGGAGGAATCGCCCGCCTCTTCGGGGTGTCCCAGTGGCTGCGGGCGATTGAGGGGTCGGGGTTAGAGTCTCGGGGTGCCCCTCACCCTCTCCCCGGGAGGAGACGGGGGGGACCCCAAACCCATCCAACACCCCCCCCCCCGCAGGATCCACTCCCCGAGCCGCGCGTGGGGCAGCCCGCGTCCCGCATCCCGACCCCCCTGCACCCCCCCGAGACCTCCAAAGCCCCCCAAAGACCCCCTGACCTTCCCAGCCCCGCCAGGTTGTCCATGTCCAGCGCCAGCGTGGAGACCGGGGACACGCGTGGGGACACCCCGGGCAGCCCGTGGCCGGCCCTGCCCTCCATGGGCGCGCGGAGGGTGCGATGCGGAGCCGCTCTGTGCCCCTCTGTGTCGCGCTATGTCGCGACAGCCGCGTGTCCCCACCCACCCGGTGCCGCCAGGGGGCGCCAACCCCGCGGGGTCATTTATATTCGAAAAATAACTGCGGCAGCGGCCAATGGGAGCGAGGGGGCGGGGCCTGGGGCGGGGCCAGCCAATAGGCGGGGGCATCTGATGGGCGGGCGTGGCAGCCAATGGGAGGTGGCGGTGGGCTGGGGGGGCGGGGTCATGGCTTAGCGGAGGGGCCAAGGGTTGGGGGATAAATTTAGGGGGCACGGGGGGCGCAGCGCTGAGGGGACATGGAGGGGGACGCTGCCAGGTGGACAAGGCTGGGGGGGACACAAGCCTGGAGGGGGACACAGAGAGGGTGTGGCCATTGGGGGGTGGGGGGGACACAGCAGGGGACATGGAAAGGGAAGGGACACGGAGGGGTGCAGGGCTGGGGGTCACAGGGCCAGGGAGGGCATGACTGGGGGGGGACACAACCAGGGGAAATGGGTTGGTGCAGCGATGGAGGGCACAGGGGTGGCGTGGCTGGGGGGATAAGGGAGGGGGCATGGCCAGGGAGGGCATGGAGGGGTGCAGGGCTGGGGAGGACATCCCCAGTGTCCATATCCCCTCCCTGGTGTCCATATCCCATGGAGGATGTCCAAATTCCAGCCATCATGTCCGTATCCCATCCATGGTATCCATATCCCATCCCTGGTGTCCGTATCCCATCCCTGTGGGATCTCCAGCCCTCCACCGTGTTGAAGTCCACCCCGGGACCCTCTTGGGATGCTCCCCCTGCACCCTCCCAGAGGGTCCCCCGTTGCTCAGGGTCCTCCTTGCTGGGGGGTGTCAGGGCCCCACACTGATTGTGGCTTTCCTTGACCTGCCCCAAAACCTCACCCCGAGTATCCCCTTGCCCAAAGACCCCCTTTCTGTGGTCTCAGCACCCACAGCTCATAGCTCAGGACCCCCAGGACCCCCTCCCAGGGCCTCCACATCGCCCCCCAATGGCCACCCATTGCCATGGCAGCGGGGGCACGCCAGCCTTGCCCCCCCCCGTTGCCATGGCAGAGGGAATGCCCTCCCCATTAGGACACGCCCCTGTTGTCATGGCAACCGGGATGCTCCAGACAGGCCCCACCTCTGTCACTATGACAGCGGGATGCTCCCATGAAGTCCCTGCCCCGTTGCCATGACAGCGGTGAGGCTTTGGCCAGGGCCCGCCCCTGTTGCCATGGCAGCAGGATGCTCTTATTTAGCCCCGCCCCTGTTGCCATGGCAGCAGGATGCTCTTGTTTAGCCCTGCCCCTGTTGCCATGGCAGCAGCAAGTTGTTCCAGTTTGGTCCCACCCCCGTTGCCATGGCAGCAGGTCGCTCATGGGGTGGCCCTGGCCCCGTTGCCATGGCAACAGGATGCTATTGTTTGGCCCCGCCCCTTTTGCTATGGCAGCAGGGAGTTGTGATCTGGTCCCACCCCTCGTTGCCATGGCAGCAGGACGGTCAGGGTTAGCCCTACCCCCATTGCCATGGCAGCAGGACACTCTGCTAGCCCCGCCCCCGTTGCCATGGCAGCAGGATGCTCTGGGATGGCCCCGCCCCCGTTGCCATGGCAGCAGGACGCTCCGTTAAGCCCCGCCTCTGTTGCCATGGCAGCAGGACGCTCCGTTAAGCCCCGCCCCCGTTGCCATGGCAGCAGGACGCTCCGTTAAGCCCCGCCCCCGTTGCCATGGCAGCAGGATGCTCCGTTAAGCCCCGCCCCCGTTGCCATGGCAGCAGACGCCGTCCGGCCGCTCATGGCGGACGCGGCCCCGGCCCCGGCGCTGCGGGCCCTGTACCGCTGGCTGGACGCGGTGCCGCTGTCCCGGCCCCGCAAGAACATCGCCCGCGACTTCAGCGACGGGGGTGGGCCGGGGGGGCCGCCGGGAGGGGCCGGGGGTGCTCCCGTTCCGGGCTGGGTGGGGGGTCCCGGGTACCACCCCCTAGCCCTGCCCGCTGTGCTCCCGCAGTGCTCGCGGCCGAGGTGGTGAAGTTCTTCTTCCCCTCCCTGGTGGAGCTGCACAGCTTCGTCCCCGCCAGCTCCACCGCGCAGAAACTCGCCAACTGGGGGCACCTCAACAGGTAGGGCCGGGGGACCCCCTTCAGCCCCCCCCGCTGCCCTCCCGCTTCAACCCACCCCCAGTGCCCTCTGAGCGTCCCCACCTGTCCCACTGCTCCCCCCCCCGGAGCGCTGTGCCCCCTCACTGTCCCACGACGTGGTGTATTATAGTATTAATATATTATAATATATTATTCGTATGCCTCGCATTTTTAGACTTATAACATATAAAATAATCTCGATTCTATATAATCCCCATTACATATAACGTATCAAAAACTGTCCAGAGAACTATTTCTCCGATTTTAGGCAACTGAGTCCCTGCCCCTCTGCCCCCTCTGCTCCCCCCGCGGTGTTTCTTTGCCCCCTCCCATTTCAGGAAGGTGCTGAGTAAGCTGAATTTGCGGGTCCCGGACGAGCTGATCCGGCAGCTGGTGCAGAGCCAGCCGGGAACGGCGGAGCAGGTGCTGCTGCTGCTGCGGGACAGGATCGAGCAGAGGCAGGGACGGAACCACGGCACGGGCGGGGCCGAGCAGGTGGGCAGTGCCCGGGGGGGACACCAGGGGGTCCCGGGCCACCTCCTGCCATCCCCGGGAGTGTCCCAGGCCAGGTTGGGAGGGGCTTGGAGCAACCTGGGAGAGTGGGAGGTGTCCCTACCCGTGACAGGGGGTTGGAATCAATGGGATTTACAGCACCTTCCACCTTCCAACCCAACCCATTCATGGATTCTGGAATCCCTCTGCTCTGGAGCCAGGCTGGGAGAGCTGGGGGGGTTCCCCTGGAGAAGAGAAGGATCCAGGGAGACCTGAGAGCCCCTGGCAGGGCCTAAAGGGGCTCCAGGAGAGCTGGAGAGGGACTGGGGACAAGGCCTGGAGGGACAGCACACAGGGAATGGCTTCCCACTGCCAGAGGGCAGGGTTGGGTGGGGTATTGGGAAGGAATTGCTGGCTGGGAGGGTGGGCAGGCCCTGGCACAGGTTGGGCAGAGAAGCTGTGGCTGCCCCTGGATCCCTGGAAGTGTCCAAGGCCAGGTTAGAGCCACCTGGGCTGGTGGGAGGTGTCCCTGCCCATGGCAGGGGGTGGGTGTCCCCAGGGCCCTCCCAGTTCCTGGCCAGGTGTGCCGGGTGTTTTCCTGCCTCTCCCAGTTTTCCCATCTCCCTGCAGCCCCCGGGAGCTCAGGCAGTGCTGGAGGAGAGTGGATACCTGGACACAGGTAGGGCTGCGGGAAAGGAGGTCCCAAAGTCCCCTCACCATTTCTGGTGGCCAGGAGGGGACTCAGCCTGGGACACCCCAAAAATACCCCTGGGAGCCCTGAGGGGCAGGGGAGGGGGCAGAGGTGTTTGGGAGGGTGACAAAGTCCCTGCTGGGTTTTCCAGGCCATCCCAAGGGCAGGAGTGATGTGGGAGGGGGCTGTTCCCGGGAGGGCGCTGCCAGGTAAGGGCTGCCCAGGGGATGTGCCCCTCCTGGGGCCCTGGGGGTCACTCTGTGGGTCAGGGAGGGTCCCTGGGGGGGTCTGGGGGTCTCTCTGAGGGTCTAGAGCATCCTTTTAGGGTTTAGGGGATCTCTGGGGGGCTCTGAGTGGCCCCATGGGGGCCAGAGGGTCCCTGTGGAGCTCTGAGGGTTTCCATGTGGCTTTGGGGGGCCCCGTGGGGATTTGAGGGTCACTGTGGGGGCCGAGGGGTTCCCATGTGGTTCTGGGGCCCCATGTGGCTCTGGGGGTGGTCCCTGTGAGGCTCTGGGTATCCCCATGTAGGCTTGGGGGTCCCTGCAGTAGTCTGGAGATGCTCGTGTGGCTCTGGGGGTCCCCGTGTGTCCCTGGGGGTCCCTCTGGGGGTCTGGGGGTTCCCGTGTGTCCCTGGGGGTCCCCGAGGGGGTCAGGGGAGTGCTGAGCCATGGGGAGGGGGGAGCAGGATGTGGGGGATCCCCCCCAGCCTGTGCAGCTCCCGGGGCCGCAGGAGGGGTCATTGCTCGTCCCCGCGGGGTCTGTCCCGCCCCAGGGGGGTGTCGAAGCCCCCCGTGGGGGTTCCGGGGGACGCTGCCATGCGCCTGCAGCTGGTGGAGCGGGAGCAGGCGCTGCGGCTGGCACAGGAGACCATCCAGGTGAGCCGGGCAGTGCCGGGCCCGCCGGGGAGGGGCACGGGGGGACACGGCGCTGGCCCTCCTCCCGCAGCGCCAGACGGCGTTTTCCCCGCGTTTATCCCGTGAAATCCCTCGGAAAGCCTCTCCCTGCAGATGCCTCCCCTCTGGGACCAGCTTTTCCCTTTCCCTCCTTGCCGCCCGACCGTGCCCTCATTCCCCGTTCCCAGCGCTCCCAAGGCCCCTCCTTGTTTTCCCCCTAGGTGGGTTTTGGGGGTGGCTTCACCCCTGAAATTCTGCCTAAGATCGGTTTTTTTTTCTGCTGGAAAACATTCGAGATGTAAAATGTTGGAGGGGGGGGGGGCGACAGGGCAGGAATTTTGTGGGATATCTGGAGTGAAGCTATTCCCGGGACCTGGGAGGGACTGGGACTCCTGTTTTGGAGGGGGAGGTTATTTCCATGTGGGTTGTGGGGACCCCAAATCTGTCGCTGCTGCTCCCCTGCCTCAGTGTCCCCCCAGTAAAGGTGAAACCTCCCTGTCCCCACGTTCCCTGTCCCCACGTTCCCTGTCCCCACGTTCCCTGTCCCCTGTCCCAGACAGACCCCCCGGGATGGGTCTGGGGCGGGTGGAGGTGCCTCCCATCCCCCCCCAGACCCCGCGGGGGGTTCCCCCAGATCCTGCAGGCAAAGGTGGAGCGGCTGGAGCAGCTCCTGCTCCTCAAGAACCTGCGGATCGACGACCTGAGCCGGCGGCTGCAGCAGGGACGGGGACAGGGACGGGGCCAGCAGCGCTGAGGGACCCTCGGGACACCCCCCACCACGGAACGGCCTCCCAGTGCCCCCCAGTGCCCCCGAGGGCCTCCCAGTGCCCCGCAGTGCCCCCCACAGGCTCCTGCTCCATTCGCCTCCCACACTGGGAATTAAAGTCGTGGATGGTCGCTGGGATGAGCTGGAGGTGCTGTGGGGTGGGTTTGTCCCCAGCGGGAGCGGGGGAAAACAGTGGGGACAGCGGGGTGGGGACAGCAGGGGGGGATGGCAGTGTGGGGACACTGTGGGGACAGCAGAGCAAGGGCACGGGTGTGGGGACACTGTGGGGACATCAGAATGGGAGGGGGGACATCAGTGTGGGGATGCCAGTGCAGGGACATCAACGTGGGGACACTGTGGGGACATCAGCATGAGGACAGCAAGGTGGGGACACTGTGGGGACACTGCAGGGGCATCAGTGTGAGGACATCAACATGGGGGCACCGTGGGGACACTGTGGGGACAGCAGGGTGGGGACATCAGTGTGGGAGGGAGAACATCTGTGTGGGGATGGTAGCTCAGGGACAGCATGGGGACATCAGCATAGGGATATCAGGGAAGGGTCAGCAGCGTGGGGACCCCCTGGGGACGCCATTGGCTGCTCAGCCCAGCGGACTCTGGGATTTAATCCCTTCCCAAATCCGGTTGTGGTTGTAATCCCAGAGCAAATCCGACCCAGCACACGGGGCTGGGGGGGACAGGGACCCCAACACACAGGGCTGGGGGGGACAGGGACAATGTGGGGGGTGACAGGGACCCCACAGCTCAACCTCGCACTGAGGAACCCCCTGGTGTCCCCCATTCCACCTCTTGTCCCCCCCCAGGTGACATCCCCAGCTGTGGGGACATGTTTGGGGGTGGCACTGGGGACCATCCCTGTGCCAGGGGCACTTTTTAGGGAAAATCCAGTGGTTTTGGCAGATGTGAGTGTGGGGTGTCCTGGCAGGGGACGAGCCAGGCCCTGTGTCCCCTCCCATGTGTGGTGTCCCCATTCCAGAGGTGAGGACACAGCTGGGCTCTCTGGATCCTGGGAATGTGGATCCCAGTTTTTTTAAGCATTCTGGCAGCTGGAGCTGCCGGGCTGAGGGGTCAGCTGGGCCCCCTGGGGGGGACATGAACCCCCTGTCTCTCACGTGTCCCCCGTCTCTCATGTGTCCCCTGTCCCTCACTGCATCCGGGATCCACATTCCCAGGGATCCATGGATATCCTGGGGGAGCAGGGACAGGGGTCACAATGAGGGACAAGGGGCAGGGGACATCCCTCACTGGGACCCTGCTGTCCCCCCAGGGTGTCCCCTGGCCCTCAGTGTGACCCCTGGCCCTGCTCCCCCAGGATGTCCCTGGATCTCTGGGAATGTGGATCCCGGTGTTTTAAGTGTTCTGGCAGCTGGAGTTGCTGGGCTGGGGGGTCAGCTCAGCCCCCCGGGAGTGACATCAACCCCCTGTCCATCACGTGTCCCCTGAGCCAGCAGGGAGGGACACGGAGGTCGGGATGGAGTAAGCCAGGCCCTGGGAGATCCCTCGGGATGGGAGGGATGGGGCTGGTTGTTCCCAGGCTCAACTGTATCCAGGAGTGGGGTGAGATGGGATAGGATGGGATGGGATGGGATGGGATGGGATGGGATGGGATGGGATGGGATGGGATGGGATCACCAGCCCTGCCCCCCCGCGTGCCCCAGGGCCCAGCAGCGGTCCGTCCCTCCCTGCGGTGTCGCGGAGCTGTCGCGATATGTGTCGGAGCCCCCAGCCCCGGCCCATCGCGCGGTTTCCATGGCAACGGCCCCGCTCACGGGGGTCCCTCCCGCCCCCCCCCGCAGTTCCCCCTCCACCCGCAGGGGGCGCCCTCGCCGCGCGCACCCGCTCCCCATTGGCTGCCACCACCCCGGCCCCGCCCCCAGAGACAGCCCCGCCCCCGACAGTGCTCCGGGACGGCCGTTGGGGGCGGGGCCCGGAGGCGGGACCGGTGGGGCCGACGACCAATGGGAGCGGCACTGGGGGAGCGCTGGCCAATGGGAGAGAGGGGGCGGGGCCGAGCAGCGGGAAGCGGGGACCGGGAGCGGAGCGGCCGCGGAGGGGACGGAACGGGGTGAGACGGGATGGGGGAACGGGGGCGAGAGGGGTACGGGAGTCAGAGGGGACACCGCGGGGTGAGAGGGGTTCGGAGGGAACGGGAGGATGGAGGGAAACGGGGGTGGTGAGGGAGGACACCGGGAGGTGAGAGGGGATGGCGAGCGACGGGGGAACAGGGAGGGACACGGTGGGTGAGAGCGGACGGGGGGAATCCCCCCTTTCCCAGAGCCACGGGGAGAGTTCCCTGCCCATTCTCTGCTCATTCCCTGCCCGCTCCCTGCTCCAGCTCCGTTCCCAGGCGATGCCCCCCGGCTCCAGCAATTGAAGTTGGACACACGGACAGCCGAGGGGACTCGAGGGGACACACATGGCGACGGCCGGCAGGGGTGAGTCCGGATCCTGTGTCCCCTCTCGGGATCCCTGCCCGGATCCAGGGCCAGGCTCCCGCTTTGGTGTCCCTTCCCCAGGCTCCCCCCTGTCCGTGGCCTTCCCGGGGTTTCCCTCTGCCCTTAATCGTGCTGGGGGGTCCCTTCTCCATATCCAGGAGTTCGAGAGCTGCCTGGAGCTTTTGGGGTTCCCTCTGCCCTGCTGGGGGGTCCCTCTGTCCCTATCCAGGGATTCAGGGGCTGCCTGGAGCTTTTGGGGTCTCCTGGCCCTGTCCATGCTGGGGGGTCCCTCTGCCTGTATCCAGGGATTCAGGTTTCCCTGGAACAGCCCACGGAGCGGATGAGCAGGTCAGTGGTCACAGGTGACCGGCGGGACATTCCTGCTGTCCAGGGGGTCCCTGCTCCCCCCTCCAGGAACAGGCACACCCCTGGCACCCCCCACTCCCGGGGTGCTCCTGGATCCCAGTGCCTCCTGACAGGCTCTGGCAGTGCCAGACTGAGGGGTCTAGAGGGGACCCCCAAAGGCCCGAGGGGAGACAAAGCCCGAGGGGGCTCTTTGTGCCATTCCTGGGTGGGATTTGGCTCCTTTGTGCTCCCAGAATCCCGGGGGAACAGGGCTGGGGCGGCTCCATCCCGATGGCTTCACTCCCTGCGGAGCCTCCTCCGGCTTCCCGGCAGGACGAGGCTGGAGAGCAACAGGAGCTGCAGGAGCACCAGGAGAGGGGCTGGGGGACCCTTTGGGGGAGGAGGGGGGACCTGAGCCCCTGAGGGACCTGAGCACCTGGGTGTCCTCATTTCAGGGGACACGGTGACACCGAGGGTCCGACAGGTCCTGGGGACTCCCCTGCCGTGGGCTCAGGGGGGAAATGCCAGATGCAGGTGATTTTCTGCCTGTCACCACCCTGCCTGTGACCCCTCCAGTGCCACTGTCACCCCCTCAGGCTCCTCCAGGGCTGTCCCCACCCGCCAGGTCCGCGCTGTCCCCTCCCGAGCGGGGACAGGGACGTGTCTCGGGGCTGGGCCAGCGGGATGCCGGGCCAGCTGCCCGCGGTGCCACCTCCATCCTCCC